TAGATATTAATTTATAAACTTGGATTACAGACTGAAAGAACAAGATGAAGTGTTTACAAACCAGAAGAAGGAGTACGAGCGTGAAATTAATCACCTACGTCTGATTCTACAAGAGAAGGATCACAATCTGCATGATATAGTCACAGAAAAAAGGTCAGTCATACTTGCACACCACACAATATAGCCACGGAAAAAAAGTCAGTCAACTTACATACCACACGATATAGTCACAGAAAAAAGGTCAGTCACACACACCACACAATATAGCCACAGAAAAAAGGTCAGTCACCTACACACCACACAATATAGTCACAGAAAAAAGGTCAGTCACACTCACCACACGATAAAGCCACAGAAAAAAGGTCAGTCACACACACCACACAATATAGCCACAGAAAAAAGGTCAGTCACACACACCACACAATATAGCCACAGAAAAAAGGTCAGTCACACTCACCACACGATAAAGCCACAGAAAAAAGGTCAGTCACACTTTCACACCATACAATATAGCCATAGAATAAAAGGTCAGTCACACTTACACACCACACAATATAGCCACAGAAAAAAGGTCAGTCACCTACACACCACACGATATAGCCACAGAAAAAAAGGTCAGTGACACTTGCACACCACACGATATAGACACAAAAAAGGTCAATCACCTACAAACCACACAGTATAGCAAAAGAAAAAGGCCCGTTACCTACACACCACACAATATAGCCACAGAAAAAGGGTCAGTCACTTACATACCATCTTTTATGTTACCGTATATACTCGCCTTGGGAGTTAAACGTTGGTCCAAAACTCTTTATCCGACTTATACGCGAGTTATAAAAAGATTGGTATATCAGCGAGTCAATTCCTCTAAATTAAGCTTAAAAAGTACAACCGACTCATGGGCGAACCGACTTCTAGGCGAGTATATACGGTATTTCTTCTTACTCTTCTTTGTGGTTGAGTCATGTAAAGAATTACAAAATCAATAAAACCAAATACATGTACATGCATTAAATTTCTTGACCTGTTTTGAGCCTTAATTAGAATGTACACCATTAAGACAATGAAGTTTAGTTTTGTTTAATTTTCCACATACAAAATGTAAAAAGTTTAAAACACACTACACAAGTACCGGTAATTAAATTATTGGCAAAATGAAATAGCTCGAAATGAATTTAACAAGAGCCTTTTGTTTATGATCAAGAACTTAACCAGAAGAATATGATAATATTTATTTTGCAGGGAGGTGGAGGATGAGTTAGAGATTGTTTGGCAAGCTGCCAATTCTGAAAATGACAGAATGAAAACTGTGCTTCAGAAGACAGTGAAAAAACTAAGACAGCATGAACAGTTAGCAGAAGTTATAGATCAACATGAACCCAAGAAGATTGTGTATGTATCATCTGATGGTGAAGGAGATTAAGAGACGCTCAAATAATGACGGGAAAAGCAATATGTAGGAAATAATATACTCGTAATCCAATCTAAATTTTCTTGGGGATGTGTAGGCTTGTCACGAAAGAAAACAATTGATTGCAAACTTGCTCATCTTTCATATTAAAAGAGCTTAATTGAGGGATTTTAACAGTTATGTAAGGAAAATATTCATTGCATTTCACACAGCAGATCAGGTGCTACAGTGGCAGCATTTGTTGATGTTGAAATCATTTTTTTTTCTGGTTATGTATTATGGCAGTACTTTTAAATGTCATAGAAATTTGCATTTTCATTCGTGTAATATTTGGTGGACTATGCAACAAGCAACGTAATGCCAAAGATTCTTTTTAGAAGCATTTTTAATTTACAAGAGAGTAAATGTAGTACATGTAGATGTTGGAAAATGGTGTGTAGGCAAATTTGATTTGTATGTTTTTGGAATTGAATAAAACTAAAGATTTAACAGTTGAGAAAATGTGCATGTACTTACAAAAGGTGTGGTAATATGGTTTTCATCTTTTATGTGGTTTGCTAATTATCATAAAATGGTAATATCAATCTTTTTTCATACACAAGTAGTAGAAATGTAGTTATCAGCTGATTTAGAAATCATTTTATAAAATTAACATTTTCATTTTACGATAAGAGAAAAGCAATTTTAAAATAATAATGGTGTAGCTAGTCAGTTTTAATTACTTATTACTATTTAATTTCTGCCTTGAAATTAGTTTATAGAATTATAAAACAAAGTGTAGTCTAGTTTGTTATTTAGATCCCTGTTTTACTAGTGATTGGGCATTTGAATGTGTGCAATACTGAAGTATGTGCTGAGGGGATTTTAAACAAAATTAATGTACAGTCAAACCTCATTATCTCAAACTCGATGGGACCAAGAAAAAAACCGAGAGATATCCAAGGGTTCAAGATATCGAGGGTAAAATACTTGAGAAATAACGTGGTTAGGACTTCCCAATCACTTCGACATATCCATAGTATTCGAGATATCCGTGTTCAAGATAATGAAGTTCAACTGTAATTATAATGGCAGTTACACAAAAAATCATGCTGAATCTTCTACAAAGACATTGTTGGGGTAAAATTTTCTATTTAATGAAAAAATTGGATTTTAAATCACAAAGAGAATGTTACAGAATTACAACAATGTTGATAGGTTATTCACTGAATCACTGCAGTCATAAGTTGGATTTTTATTTTATTTTTTAATTTGCTGTGATATGTTGATGATGTGCACACATTATGCCCGGTGATATTGAATCTCTCTCATTAGTTTTTTTTAATAAGAATGAGAAAGTTAACAGTTGGAGTAGCAGCTGTTTTATATTCTATTTAATTTGGTGCTATATGTTGGTTATTGAGTTATTTTGTTATTGTCATTTTTCCGTCCAGACACAAGACTCATTGTAGTGCATGTAAAGTGTGTCTGTTTTTTTAAATTTCATTTTTGTATTTTTTAAAGATTTTGTTTTTTGTTTGTTTGTTTGTTTGTTTTTTTTGGCAATTTTAATCTTTCCTAGAAGGAACTGAGCAGTCATAAACCAAACTCTTATTTTGATTTCGCATAAGAGTATTGGTTATACAGTGACACAGATGCTCAGAATGTCCTTTTGTAACAGGAATGTGTAATATGATAAGTCATTAATAATGGTTAAGTCTTTAGCTCATTAATTGTATGTTGAAGTGATTTAAGCTTATAGAAAAAATCTGTATAATAGTAAAAATAAAAAAAAATTATTTTCATTCTGAAAATGGTATAAAAATAAAATTCTCTATATTTTAATTTGTGTCGATCTGAATACTTTAAATGCAGTTTAATGATGATTGTAATTTTCCGATTTTTCCTGATTTTATTGATCCGTCAATGTTGATATAGTAACTGTTACCTAACATTGTAATACAGTATCCTTGCAATTTCTATCATAGATATTTATATACAGTTAATAAACAATATATTTTTAACATATCTTGTCATTATTTCTTTTTAGTATTACATGACTATGTCAGTGAGAAATTATGAGGAAAAAAGACAATTCTGAAAAGTTACAATGCACATCCTATTTAAAAGTCTTAAAAGTTTGTAAATGTACAGTGTATGTCCCCCAAAATGGAATGAAATTGGTGGAGAAAGTATATTATGTAAATCTGAGGCAGTGGTTAGAAAAATGGAACCAACAGTCAATTGAATGATTTAACTGCTAAGTGAATATTTAAAAGATCCCTATATGCCTTAAACATGAACTTTACAACCAGCCAAAAATCTACATGTATTGCAGATAAATGGATATTTGTCCTAGTTCATTAAAAATACAATTTCAAAGCCAAAGAGATGTGTGTGAAGTTGGGGTGAGAGGGGTGGGGTGACCATTTTTTATGCACAGTATTATCCATTTGGTGGCGGACTGTGAATGAGCCAATTCTTTAATGTGTGATTTATTTTAGGTTATTGAACACATCGGCCATTCATTCCATTATGCAGGTTATTCTGTGTTTTGTTGACGTTTATTACTCCGCGAAGTAGACTTGATTGACATGTTTGTTGTGTGTGGAATCTATTGTTTAGGTTTCCTTCCTTCTGTTTTTTGTCAATGAGGAATTACTCACTTTGGTTCATGGGAACTTTTATATTTAAAATCACTTGCTCTACTATGGTTTTCTTGTTCTTTTTCAATTAATATCAGTCGCTAGTGCGCAATAGCCACGTAGGGTTTTCCTAATGACCTCCGTCCATTCGACTGTTTAATGCTGAAAGTTGCCGCAGACCTTCTTTTTCATGGCTGCAGTCCTTTGAGTGACAAAGATGCTGTAACGTGTATAGAATTTTGCATAAAAATTTTGTTTGAATTTCTTCTAATTTTTTGTTTTGTTTTGCTCTGTCAACTCTCTCTCTCTCTCTCTCTATCTATATTTCGTGCCAGCAGCTTACTAGCTTGGGCATCGATGGACGCCCTCTGTTAGTCATGCTTCTTTTACAAGCAGGGAAGTAGAGGGACAGCAAGACATTGGTTTCCGAAGATGCTACTTGTGATAAAATTAACATTCACGAATTAATGGGGGGGGGATATTACAGTATGATCATTCCTTATAATACTTGTATGATGAACTTAAGACATGTCTGAAAGAAATAAGTAGATCTTAATTTTGTTTTCTTTTTTTTTTAAAAAAAGCCAATAAAACCATTTTCTTTTGGTTTTACCTGGGTAATAAATGTTTCAGGACTTGTGACATAATGTAAGGGGACTGGCTCCAACGAATTAAACCGAAGTAAACAACATGAAATTAACTTGTTACTTACATTTGTACATTCAAGATTATGAATGAATGTTGAAGTGATGTATCGGAACAAGACCAGTGATCGATTGTTCTCATGTTTACAACATGTTGGAAATAAAGAAAAAGACCCTCTTCTGACCCACAATGATTCAATGACGTTTTGACAACGTTCTTTCTTTTGTTTGTGTGCCCCTAGATTACTCAATCCGAATCAACATATATAGCACAATCGTGTGTACATACAAGTATAAAGAGCTATTAGTGCTGCGTATACGTCAAATCATTTATATGGGGGTTCAGATTAATTTGGAGAAATGACTTGGATTTATCTTTTATTGGTGAGAAGAATATCTTAATATTTACTTCTTTGTTTATTGGGATTTTTTTTGTGTTTTTTTTAAAACAACTTTAGTATTAAAGACCGATTTATAGTATTCAAGAACGATTGAATATTTTTTTTTATTTAAAAACGTAATTTATTTACTTATTTTTTTTCTTACTTATTTGATGCTTCCAATAAGGCGGAACAATTCAGCATTTCGTATTTTTTAATAAAAATATATAGACATAAAATTATAGAATATGAGTATATACTAGTAATTAGGGATGTCAAAATATTTATTTTCTGTAGTCGAACATTCGATTGCATTATTCGAACGATAGTCGAATAGTAGTAGTAATAAAAGACTGTATTGGAGCTTTTGTTTTGCACCGAATTTAAAAACAGTTTCAAATACAAATATATATTATATAATAAATATTAGATAAAAAGCCATCACATCTCGATAAAATGTTTATTCAAAACAACAAATAAAGTCTAAAATTTTACATTATTTTTCAGTTAAAAAAAATGAATATATCAATTCAACCCTTCCTCTTTGAACAAATTGAAATTATGACACATAAATCTATAATAAAAGAAAAACAAACTAAAAATAATAAATGAAAAAAAGAAGAAAAAAAATGTCTGGCGCTCGATTTTGTTTTTTCCTGTTCATCCTGCAAGAAAGTATAACACTGCGTATATTTCTTTTCCCACCATAACACTTTGTATTTTATTGTTTTTAGTTGTATATTTTCCACACAATACATGCACAGATGGTGTCTCGGTTCCAAAATCCGTGGATCAATGTTGTACGTCGGCACGCCTGCTCTGTAAGTAATGCATCTGTATTTCAGAATTTGTGCCTTACATCGCCTCAAACTTTAAAACAGACATGAATTTTATGTCCTTCCACATCCTACACAGTTCCGACATAAATGGATCCTGGATAAATATTCCTCAAGGCCGTAACTAGGCCCACATTTTAAATGAGGCGAGGGGATTGGGGTCTGTGTATGGCCCTGGCAAATCCAGGACAGTGCCGGGGTGATATGAAACTCCTTCGTTTTAACAAATTGACAAATTTTGCCATGGAAACAAATCTCGAACTTTTTTTTGGCATGTCAACTGTCAAGTCATGTCATTTTACAAAATCAAATGAAAAGTGGCATGATCAATAAGATAAAGTAAACATCACCAAAGTAGTGTCAATAAAAAGAAGATAGTTCAAAATTACAAAAACAAAAACAAACAAAAAAACAAAAAAAAAAACCATGAGTTTAATTTTACAGACTTGAATCAAATGGCCTGTACCCTAAAGAGGGACACTATAATTATGAAATATCAAGTTTCAACGTCACTTCACGAAAGATACAAAATCGTTTCATCTCAGTTTTAAGGTTCATTGATACTCTGATAAGAGAGATAACTCTTAATGACATAAATGTCTATTATTCCTTTATAAATTTGTCAAGTTGAAATGTCTTTTTTGTTTAATTTTGCCCCGCAAGCTATGGTATAACAGTTTGTATTTTACTTATGAAATACATTTCTTTTGGAAAATCATAAAAGTTAAGGCAACATTTTATATGAGTGAGCATAGGGTTTATGAACGTTAACAATTTCAGTTATTATTTGAATTGCGCTTTCAACCTGCATTATAAACAATGTAACATATTATTTCAATTTTTTTCATATACTTATTGTCAAAAACTGAATATGTTTTTGATTAAATAAAATATGCATGACCAAAAATAAATCATATCGGAATTAAAATGATTCGTGCCTTGAAATGCATTGACCCCCCCCCCCCCCCCCACGCACTCCCATTTACAATCAAAGAATACCAGTATATCAATGAAATAAATATATACCCCCCCCCCCTAAAAAAAAGGCCCACATGACATTACAGCGATTCAAGCCTCATCCCATCATAATGTAGAAGTTATAACAAATATACATATTTTTACCCCCCCCCCCAAACTTTTTTTTTAATTTTAAAAATTAAGTCCAGTAACACAAATAATGTGTTCATATTAGTACTTTACATTTTTAATAATTAAAAAATCCAAAGTTTTAGTGAAGCATTTGCCTTACTTGCCTCAATGGTTGTTACGGCCTTGATGTTGTCATAAGACAATTATACACGCCCGTAAAGTGTTTGCCTCTACTCTCAAGAACTCAGAGTTTGATATTAAAAAGATGTTTCAGTTTCTTATTGGCAGTATCTATGCACAATCCGTTGGAATTCCCAAGGGTAATAATTTTGACATTTAGATATATCTAAGACGTGTTATCAATTAACAATAATCAGTTTCATTTCAATATTGATTCGATATATCCCATTGACCCCCCCCCCCCCCAAAAAAAAAAGAATACATATTTCATATTTGGATGTTTTATTAGAGAAAGACATTGATGGCAAACTGACATCTAAACTTCATGATGAACGTGATTACTTCTGAATCAACTTTTCTATCGCCAGATTCTTTAGACCATCTTTGAAAAATTGTTTGGTTGCCCTCTCCCGACCGATTTCTAGTTTTTTTTGTTTTTTTTTTATTGTTTTTTTTTTTATTTTATTTTTTTTTTAAATTTGATATCTACACAATGATTTGTAATAATGCCTCTATATTGTATACATATACAACATATATTGTACATATATTGTATATGAGTTTGAATGTACATGTGTATTTTTTTAAATCTTGACCCTCCCTGTAAGAAAAACAAACAAACAAACAAACAAACAGAAATGGACAGAGCGCTGTGCTCTATAAACACTGAATTTCAAGAAATAATATTGTTAATGTTTTTGGATATATTTTCTTGTAAATTATATATCTCTTACTCCATTTATTTCCTAAACTAACGGAAATTGACTGAAAATATCACATAATTTTTTTTCTAACAATTTATATTCTCCACATATGAGTATGTATTGATTCCTAAATCTAAACTCGGTGCATGGGGGTTTTATATGTTGAAAAACGTGACTGTAAAGTAGAGATAGGACTGCTCATTTCATTTCCTGCGAGAAAAGCCATGGATTACATTAAAAGCTAGACACGTTGTAATACACAACACGCTATTGTTTCGATAGACAATGACAATGTTTAACACATAATGGACATTGTCTCCAATTACCACGATGTAAAACAGAGACTTCTGGTCTACGAACATCACTGCATACACTTTAGCTATGTAGATCCTTGTAGATCTTATTCAGCATGTTGTATATTCATATAATTATATTTTTAAACATAGCTCCATGCCATTAGTATTGAGAAGTTGATGACTCGTTTTATACTCCCCCCTCAACTCCCCCTCTATTAATACTCTAATACTCCCCCTCGTTTTTTGAGGGGGAGTATTAAAACGAGCCATCAACTTCTCAATAGAGAATATGCCATTAGATGTAAATACTTATTAACATATTGCAATCATACTTTTAAAATTCACTCTTTTTCAATCATAATTTTTTAAAAAATACATGTATATATATATCCGTAGTTTTCATCCGAAATCTCATTTTTTTTTATTTTGTAAGATAGTGGAGTGCAATATAGGAGAAGTCTGTGACTTATCTTATGAAAACTGTCGTCCAACGGGACCCTGTCTACTTAAACAACCCACCTGCGTCTCAGGTAAGTATTTAATCATTCTACTCTTTTATCTATGAAATAAAGTCATATACAGTGAAACCTGTCTTATCCGACATGCTGCGGGAAATAAAAACAATGTCGGATTAGGCAGTGTGTCGGATTACCCAGTGTTGAATATTTCTGAGCATTATCATTAGTGTCAGACGACTTCATACAAAAAAAAATCATTTTTCATTAGGTTAAGAGTACACTTGTATTTAATTGTCAAAGTGTTTGCATAATTGTGTATTTCTTCGCTGTATAAATTATATCTGATTAGCATTTCTTTGAGAAACAGCGTTTGTGATATAGCATTAGTAAACTTTGTAGTAATATACGATGTTTTTCTTTTTTTTTTTAAATGGACAAAACATGGAACTGCCGATCGCTTCGAGATTTCGAGATGTTGCAATTTAATTTTTACTTACTGACAGTCGATATTAAAGTAAATATTTCGTCTACCTTCTCTACACAGTGGTATGGTTTGTTTTTTTTCTACTGATTATTTCTCAACATAGACTGTGCTATTAATACCGTCACGCGACTTTTAATACAAACGGGACGTAACTCTAAAACTGTGCGATTGAATTTTAATCAAACAGACGTAATATTTTAAATTTATGGGCAACTGAAAGCGGTATTTTTTGCTTTCGGCGAATCTTTTATGTACACAGCCTCGCTTGATTCAGTGTATATTAACCCGGAAATGAAACGTTTTCTATAAGACAAGTTGCTGCCTTTCAAATTGTGTATTGTATACATGTTACACAGTAGTTCGCCGTACTCATTTTTTTTTTTCATAACATGGCTTTAAGAAGGACCCTGACTGCATATTTGATTTTAATTTCAAGCTAAAAATCTTTTTTATTCTGTAAGGTAAAGGCGATCTAAACATCATGTACTCTTTTTATTTTCTGTCGCGTGGATGCTATTTTTTCCAATGCGAGAATAAAATTGATAACAACAGGGACGTACGTATATATAACATCAAAGAGAAATAATTGCCTAATTTTTAATTCAAAAACTGTTCATTTATAATTGCTTACAGAAACACTTTCGAACTCGTACATGTAATTAACTACTCTCTAAGTAGACCAATCTTGTGACCAAACGGGACATTCATGTTACCTGGCCAGCGGCTAATTATGGTACACCAGTGTAATTATGTCGGATTACTCAGGGTAAATCATAAAGTAATTATCTACTTCTGTTGACAAAAAATCGCCGGAATTCGGAATGTGCAGTGGTCGGAATATACAGTGTTTTATTCTATATAAATTATAAAGAAATTTTTGGGAATAAAATATGAGGTCGGAAAGTCCAGTGTGCCGGATTGCACAGTTGTCGGATTGGACAGTGGGCACTGTATTATTAAATTATAATGTTATACTTTTGGTAAAATGAATGTATAGAGAGTATGTAAGGTAAAGTGATCACTGTAAAACTGTATAATCCGATACCACTTCACTGTGAATTTCGGCCTATATTTTTATTCCCATTTTTCTACTTTCCTTCGTGTTCTTCCAACATCCTGTCCCAGTGCAGGTTTGACTGTATTACCTGAAAAGTACATCTATACAATAGATCCCCGTGTATAGTTTTTTTTTTTGATTTGTATATTCCATACACCTTTGTATTTCGAAGAACTGCGACGGGTAAGGACCCCCTTTGGCTTCTTGTTTTGAATGATGTTTAGAACAATATGCGATTGAATTAAACAAACACCTGATTATGCCTAGTTTAAAATTAAAATTGAACTTAATTGCTTGTATAAATAACTAGTACTCTTATTCATGAAGGGTACGACCGCAATTTTTATTGTCCGACACATCGGGTACGTTGAATAAGAAAGGCTAAAAGAAAACTAGGCCTAGTAAAGAAATCGGCAAATTGTTTTAATCAGTCTGTGTGTATGCTGCGTCTTTCAGTTACAAACTATCACAATTTTAACTTGGCTATAATTATTATGTCAAATGAGAAACCATATTTCGCATTTATCATACTTGTCCTTTTCAAGATTTCTGAAACTTAATATGAAACAGGTGAAAATAACGAACAGTGATCGATCTCAAAAAATATACAAACAGAACAAAACAAGGCATAAAACATGGACCCCTGGAAATTCCACAGGTGGGATCAGATGCCTTGGAGGAGCAAGCATTTACTGTCGACCGGTCACAACCGCCGTGAGCCGTATGACTTGATCAGGTAGACGGAATAATCTGTAGTCAAATTTAGTATAAAAATGAAGTCCTAACAATTTGTATAAAATATGTAAGTCCAAACACCACCCAATAATGTGTTGTATTTGCTAACAAGGTCGGTATTACGAACATAGAATTTACGAAGTGCTGACTTTCAACGAGGTTGTTAAAATCCCTGTAACATCAACTTAATTGTCAGTAACCTGTCTCGGTTTAAAAATTGACCATAGTTAGATCATGCTCGAGTATCAAAAACCATATGTAGGTGATAGCGGTATACTACTTCATAAATAAGGAAAATTGACGCTGGAAAAGCTGAATCTTGTTTGTCTTTGTCATACTGTTTAGTTACTAGTTGGCAATTATCGTCTATAGTCAGTAAACCATCCAAGTATTTTAAAAACAGATGTGACAGACTCTGTGGTGTCTTTTATTTCGAGTTCACTGGGATATATCGAGTCGCCCATGGCGATTCCATACAGCAAAATAACTTGTTAATCATGAAAAGCAGTAATTTTATCATACAATTGTTAACAACACAGTTCAAAGAAGCCATAATAGACAAAAATACATATTACAATTTTCTTAAAAGGAAAAAGAAAATGGTATGAAAATGTGTTTTTAACAACACATAAACATAAATTGGTATTTGAAATATTTCCAAACGTAATCTTGAATTAATGCTGTTGGTATTTCTGTGCAATGCTTGCATATACCAATAATTAATATTTTGGTCATATTTTTTATTTAAGTGATAATTCCTCTAAGATATGTTTCTTTTTTGATAGCCTTTAACTCTGCTAGACCAGGCAGATGTCCATCACCACGGCTCAACCTGATTCCTAGATTTACAGTGGACTGCTTTGATGACCCAGGTTGTGACGCATCTCAAATTTGTTGCCATAGTTACTTCGGAAGTTACTGTTTTCCCTTAAACAGACGGCGGACCGGAGCTTTACTTCGGAGAAGGACCAGAAATGGCTAGCTTAGTCTGAACTACACGATCCCAAAACTTACACAAAAACAAACACATGTAGTGTAGTAAGTGCCATCGAGAACAATATGTAATGACATTTATGCACTTCTAAAATTTGTAATATGCAGTGTTATTGTGTCATTTATATTGAGATGCAAACTTAATAATGACTTGTCTATGGAGAATCTTCGAAATAAGGTGAACTGGCTTTGCTTACAAAATGTAATTCTTAAGAAAGCATGAATGATTATGATAATATCTAGAAACAGATAAAGTTTTGTGATATTGATATCTATGATATCTCGTGTTTATGATTATTTGTACTTGAAACTTTTGTGTACCATGTTTAAATATAAAAAGAGAAAAATATATTTAGATGTAAATGTTATATAGAATATTTAATTTTTTGAAATAATTGTGTATCTTATATTTCAAAATTGAAATTACATGAAGGATACCATGCTTGAAGCACCTTCCTGGTTTTATATTGAATAAAAACAGACGGCAACGATGCCATTGCCGACTTGAAGCGCATTAGACTTTCATCACCCGCCTCCCCTTCCCAGAGCAGCAGTGTCTACCTATCAATAACTAAATGATTCAGCAAAACAAACCAGTACTTCAGTGTACAATAATGCCTACAGCACTAGTTCACATGTTTTTAAAAGATAAGCTTGTGATATTATAATTACATCTCAGGTTTTTGTTGAGTCAAAGTAACTGGGTGCACTTCAATTAACATAACATCATCAGTTGCAATTAAGGTCTTTGCAACAATACATTTGTTAGAAACTCATGGAAGTGATACTTTAATAAAATGTCAACATAAAAGCTGTTAAAAGCTGTATGGCTGTTATATATCTACTAAATCACCTGGATATTGTTCTTCATTTTCAACATTGCGTCATTCAGCATACAGATTCCTAGTATTGACAAGGTAAGTATTTGTGATCATATACGTAAAATGTTTCTGAAATAATTTTTATTTAAATAATATATAAATCTGATGATGTAGCATAAAAGCCAAACAGTCCCTTTTCTTCAAATCGGTAACTTATGAATCTTTGGGGGGGGGGGGGGATTTTATGTGTTAGCTGTAATAATGTAGCCCACTCCGATTTTTAGGTCACCTGAGTCACTCAGGTGACCTATTGCTCTCTTTTCGTCTGTCGTCGTACGTCGTTCGTCGTCAATCGGTCGTAAACTTTTGAACATTTTTAGCATCTTCTCTGGAACCACTGAACCAATTTCAACCAATTTTGATATATAGCATCTATGGGTGAAGGTGAGTAAAAATTTCGAAATTCATGGCCCCTGCCCCCCCTGGGGCCTGAGGGGTGGGGCTAAAACCATCAAAATTAATGCAATCTTTAAAAATCTTCTTCTTTACTCCTGGACATCAAGCAGTCAAACTGTTGGCATGATTGTAATAAGCAATGAGCCCTCTACCAAAATTGTGAAATTCATGGTCCCAGGGTCAGGGGTTCTGTCGCTAGGGCGGGGCTCTAATGATTACATAGAGAAAATGCATTAATTCTTTAAAAATCTTCTCCTCTGCTGCTATGTATTTAGCTGATGATCTAAGTACATAGTTCTGATGAGCAAGAGGGCCTCTTCCAGAATTGTGAATTTCATGGCCCCTAGATCAGGGTTCTGGTGTTGGGCGGGACTCTTATGATAATATAGTGAAAATGCATTATATTCTTTGAAAATCATCTCCTCTGCTCCTGGGTATTAAGCCGATGAATTAAGTACATAGTTATGATGAGCCAGAGTGCCTCTTCCAAAATTGTGAATTTCATGGCCCCTGGGTCAGGGATTCCATGTGAGGGAGCGGGGCTTATTTATAATATACTGAAAATAAATTAATGCTTTAAAAAATCTTCTCCTCTGCCCCTTGGTATTAATTAAACAAACTAAATACATAGTTATGATGAGAAAGGATGCCTCCTTCAAAATTTTGAATTTCATGGCCCCTGGGTCAGGGGTTCTTGAGCTTGGGTGGGGTTCTATTGATTAATTAGCAAAATGCATTAACGCTTTGAAAAACTTCTCCTCTGCCCCTGAGTACTAAGCAAACAAACGAAATGCTATAATATCAATAATAATAATAATAATAATAATATCAATGTAAATACATGTATTAAATATAGGGAAGTCAAAATATTTATTTTCCTTAGTCGATTATTCGATTGCATTATTCGAACGATAGTCGATTATTCGGAACATTTTCTGAAAAAATTTTTTTTTCAAACTTCACTGCTACATGACGTATTTATAACTCAAAAACCCTTTTACTTAAATATATTTAAAAAGTACCATCAAAAGTAATACAACGTAACGCGTGGATAGCATGATTATATGAAATAAATTTAGAAACCTAATCCTCCAAAATGTATGATTTCAGCAGAAATCAGTAATCGGCCTGTACAGTCATGCAGTCAGTTTTTATTTTAGTAAGCATTAAAAAATTGACAGCCGATATTTTTTAAAGCTTATTTTGAAATAAATGGGGGGGGGGGGGACCTCACACTTTTTACACGTCAGGTGCCTATGAAATTGTTAAACAGTTAGACAGTTAGATACTGCTTATTCAATTATTCATTGCTCTGGCTATCAAAATGTCCTTAAACAGTTTAAAATGTAAGCGAATTGTTTTAATAATAATTGTAATAATTATCGAAGTGTCAAAACATGTCACAGCTATGGTTTGTTCCTTGCATTTGAGCAATCTTAAGATAACAAAAGATAATTGGTACATGGTATACGTCCATATAATATTCTTACAAACAAAGCCCAGTATATTAGTAATTTATTACAAAAAACAACACAGGCCGTTACTGGCAAATACTTCTCGCATTAGTGAAGCACTTATAAGTACATAACAGTATTTCTATACGTACAGGGAAAATCAACCGCTTTTTTGTTTAGAAAAATTATCTTATCGGCTGTCTCTGAGAAAAGACATTTTCTCAGTTTTGTGATGAGAATTCCATCTTTTTATTACTCATTTATTGCATTTATTGCTAGCGCTCGAGAGCGCTAGCAACTACGTTAGTCTATATTTCTGAAATACGCATGCTCAACTTCACGGGCATTCTGGGAAAACTACTGTGGATAGACTGTACGATAACAATTTCGTTTTGTCATACAAAAATAGAAATGATCCGAATTTACACTGGCCTTTCCTGTCTGATATGCGCGATATACATTTCGTAGATTAGAGACAGTCAATACCAGTCTAGATCCGGATTCTCAATTTTTTTTTAAAATTTATTGTCTAACCTACACATAAAAGTACAAGAAAAAATTTGGCCATATAATGCTAAGATTCTAGACATCTAGCTTTCCTTACAGTTTTACCATCTTAGTGGATAATTCCGGCAAGCTCGGAAAAAACAACAAAAACAAAAATCTTTTTCAGAGTATGTCGGAAAGACATGGCAATTTAGTGTTTATCATCTGAAAATACATATGATCTGAAGTTTCGTGTTCTGTTGTCTAACCTGCACGTAAATGAACAAAAAGTAACAGTAACTCCGGTCTTATAAAACCAAGACTGTTATTTCTAAAGTTGTAATGAATACATAGCTTTTCTAATCTACCTTCATAGATCTTTCCGGCAAGCTCGAAAAACCGCGGCAACCTCGGATATGTTTTCCGAGCTTGCCGGAAAGGCCAGAAGGTGCTCATTGGTTCTACTGACCTTTTATTTTTCACCTCGAAATTGAAATTACAGTAAAGTACAGAATGCTTAAAGCACAGTTAGGAGTTATGCCATTGCCGACGTGAAGCACACTCTTAGATCCACCATTCTGAATTGTGACCCCCCCCCCAAACTCAACCCCCAGTGCACCAATCTGCCTTCCTATTAATAATTAATCGATTCAGCAAATTTAACAAATGGTTGGGATATCTTCTTCTGTATTTTATTATGCTACAGCGCTAGCTCACCAATCTTTTTAAAAGATAAGCTTGTTTAATTATAATAATATTCGAATGTCGTTTCATTCTTCGATCGTCGGTCCATTCGACTGATGGTCGAATAGTCGACTATTCGTTGACATCCCTAATTAAATATAATTATAAGTAAATGTGCCTCTTCTTTGCTTCTGGATATCTAGGAGGCAGTGTACACAATTGTGATGTGAAGCAAATGAGAGTTACTCCCCTTTGCTAAATATTGTTAATCAAGAAATCCTTGTATATAATTTTATTAACAGGTTATTTGATTGAATGAGAATACAAGAAAGAATGTTATATATATATATACATAGAAACAAAATAAAATGAATGTTTTGTTTAAATGAGCAAAGTATGCTCAAAGTCAGATTCTTGCCTGGAAAGCAATATAAAAGATTGACTTAAAGATTATTTATACATTTAGCAAAAGTTGTAATTATACACAGTATGTTTACACTGTGGTGGTCTAAGTTAATGCCACTGGTAGAAGAGTCATTGTTGACAAGAGAGTGGATGTTGTTTTATAATTTATCAAAGTGAACAAAGAATCACAGAGAGCCAGGGTGACTTATTGTAATTAGTGACAAGTGGAAAATAGCCATGTTGTATACCCAAGTCTGTTTGTACTGAATTGTAGTACTAGGGCAAGTGACAAAAACAATCTGTATATATTGAATACATTACACAATAGGCAAGTGTTCTTTGTGTATTTGTATATTTTGCATTCATTATCATCCCTGTAAGACTTGGGAAAATCAAGTATGATCCAAAGGAGATCACTCGGGTCTAGCACGTTATAATAAGCAAGGGTACTTTTACCAGATTTTTAGCTCACCTCGACGAAGTCGAGATGAGCTTATGCTATACCGCCGGCGTCGGCGTCCCAGTTCCCAAGTAACTATAACGATGACGCATCTAGGGATGGACGCTACCACACTTGCTTTGGATGCTGGATCTGACCTAGATTTTTAGGTCACCTAAGTCACTCAGGTGACCTATTGCTATCCGTTTTCGTCCGTCGTCCGTTAACATTTGAACATTTTTAGCTTCTTCTCTGAAACTGCTTAACTAATTTCAACCAAATTTGGCATATAGCATCTATGGGTGAAGGGAAACAAAAATTGTAAATTTCATGGTCCCTGCCCCCCTGGGGCCTGAGGGGTGGGGCTAAAACCACCAAAAATAATGCAATCTTTAAAAATCTTCTTCTGTACTCCTGGACATCAAGCAGTCAAACTGTTGGCATGATTGTAATAAGCATTGAGCCCTCTACCAAAATTGTGACATTCATGGCCCCAGGGTCAGGGTTTCTGGTGCTAGGGTGGGGCTATATAGATCATATAGTGAAAGTGCATTATTTCTTTGAAAATC